AGGATTTCCTACTTTCTATCGAATCTAAATCGCACAGCACAACTGGTTGTCCCACAGCTGATAGTAGGAACTACCGATACGCCTGAACCGGTAGCATTTTTAACTACTGGTTCGGGTGAACCAGTAGCATTTCACTCCTGGAAGACCACCATTTTTGACATAATTTGGGAACAGGTCCTTGATCCATTAGGGATGGTCCTTCCTAAAAAAAAATATTCCCAGATTGTTATGCCACTGGGGGCTCCTATCTCTCGTCTGGTTGTTCCCTAGGCAATATCTCTTCCCCTCATTCCTGAAGGCGATACGCACATTTACATTACTTTCACCTTTAGACACATCCTCCTCTCCCAAATCCCCAGGAGAAATAGGTTGTGGGTTGTGAGAACATAACATAGCTGTTATCACTTCTGTCTTCTCCTGGCAACTCCCAAACAAGCACACCAGGTGTCCTGTAAAGCATCTGCCTGAATTGAGATGACAGGTGTCCCTCCTGCGGGAATCTGCATTTCTCCACCTCTCCTGTTTTGTATCCTGATCTGGGTTGCTTTCATTAGTTACTGGAAAGGGACCAATGCATTTTGAGTCTAATTTCTTGGAAGGTCTCCCAGAATTTAAACATTTTGAAGAAAGGCATATTAAATCTCCTTCAGCAATTCTAGTCTTCTTATGTCTATGTGCAACTGCTGCTTTTTTGAATGTATCTTTGTCAGTTTGACCTGCTTTTCTTGGGCTTCTTGCTTCTCCTAGAAGAAATCAGTGCTGTGAGGAACATCACTTTCTTGCCTGGATGTTGGTAAAACAATCAGGTAGAATTCATGTGTTGCCTGGAATGAAGACACACCAATAGAGGAGTATGCAGCATTATTGTATGCAGTCCGGTTGTCTTGCTGGTAAGAAATGTCACATTTTAAATATTGCTCCAATATTTGGAGCTGGTTAATCTTTTTAAGCTTTCTCTGTTGAAAGCCAGAAGATGGGCAGATGGAAAATGAATTTTAATATTTAACAATTGCAAGAGGGTCTTCCAAAATTTGGAAGTAAATTGACCTCAGGTTAGTTATGACATGATTGACTAATCCTCTGTATCTAAAGATGTTTTAAAAAACTGAGGTATTTTTGGGGCCATTGGGAGACCTTTGCAAGGAATGAAATGGGCCAATTTGGCAAACAAACCCACTATGATAAGTAAGGTAATATAATTCCGCATCAGAGGAAGATCAAGGAAGAAATCTAGAAATACAATTTTCCTTGGTGTGTTTAGCAGTTGAAAACAATCTTGCTGACTTACCAAGGATTGGCTTTGCTCTTTAACATACATGACAAAAGGAAACCTAATCCCTTCTATCTCCATGGATGCGGGACCAACAAAATTCTCTGAGGGCTCTTTGTTGGGTTTTGAATATCCCCATGTCCTGCTGTTTGTTGTTGTGGTACAGGTACGTCCTCCCTTGGCGGAAGAGGCATACAGTATAGAAATGTCCATTGTGTAATACCTGCCCTTTGTTGTGATCCGGTGGCAGCCTATGGAGATGGCAGCAGAGTCGGACAGTGAGGAGGTTGGGGAGGAACATGGACCAGTCTTGGAGTCTGGGGGAAGGCTCAGACGAGGGCTCTGCGTCAGAGGCAGAGAAGGGGCCTGACCCATCTGGGAGTTATGTGCTCCCTCCGGAGCCCCCCGTCAGACATCAGCGACACAGAGGAAAAGGGGGAACCTGTTCCCAGTGTACGCATGCGCAAAGCTGCCAGAAGGCAAGAACAGTTAAGACAAAAGGGAGATAATTGGCCCCTCCCATAAGACATAAAGGGGGAGCAAAGGCATGTGAGCCTTTGCAAGAAGCAACTTTGTTCGTTCAGGTCGGTTTCAATTCTGAAGCTCCATTTTGACTCTGTGCTCCATGTGGCCGTGCAAAGCTAATTGGCAATTAGGTCTTTGGCAGAGTTCCAAGGGAGAAAAAGGTGGGTGTTTATCAGCCTTATCCTGAAAGACTTTGGCAGACTTCTGTCGGACTCTTTACAAACTATTT